CAACGCAACTATTAAATTAAATATATATTAAAATCAATAATATCAAAGTAATAATAATAAACAAATAATAAAAAAAATTAATTACACACCATAAATGATTTTGGTAATCTTCTTCATATTTTCCCTTTTTATTTCTACAAACATAATTTTAGGATTGATAAACTACTTTATTATTACGAAAAATTCCAAAATGTTGTGTAAATGTCTAGGTTCTTGTGACTGAAGGTAATACTACTGCTATTCTAGATAGTGATAGTAGTAGCGCTATTGGTACTAATAGCACTATTGATGCTATTGTTGGTGTTGTTGGTACTGCTTCTGATGGTGATATTAGTGTTGTTTCTACTTATTATTAATAAAGAAAATTTAAAACTCTTTAAATGCTTATGCAAAAAAAAATACAAAATTATCTGATAAGATACCTGAAAATAAATAATTAAATTCCTTAAATTTTAGAGAAACATGAAATGGATTATTATGTATATGAGTCTAATATGATTGAACTGTGCTATTTGCATTCATAACTAAATCTATCTTTTCTTTAAGTATTTCAAATAATCGAAATAAAGTTTCACAATTTTCTCCTATACAATAGTAATTTCCTATATAATAAATTTATTATATTAAAATTAATGTTAAATTGAGCATAATAAATTATAAATTAAATAAATTTAACAAAATATTACCTTTAATTATTTTAAAATTTTGCATATTATAATGCAAAAAAAGGAATCTACACTCTTAAGATCTTTATTTTTTGATCCAATCTTAATTTTAACTAGGGGATATTCCTTTAAATCTAACTCCTTATTATCAGGATTTTCTTTTTTAAATTTCTGATATTCTTCAAATAATTTTCATTTTATATAATGAATTTTTTTTTCTATTTGAAGTTTTTAATTGTTTTTTATTTTATTATTGCTGCTGCTAATGCTGATGATAGTGGTAGTAATAGTAAGGGAGTTGCTTTTTCTGACTATTCTCTACAAACCTGAATTCTTCTACATATTTCAGTAATAATTTATTTAATTTATTTTTAAAAAAAGGAAATGGATTTTTACTTTTCCTCTTAATATTTTTTATATAAGAATAAAAAATATACATTGAAAGTTTATTAGAATTATTATAAACCATCTGACAAGTTTCTTGAATATATTCATTATATTCAAGCAAAACTATTTTATATAGCTTATATTTATACAATTGATCTTTGGGTATGATTAATATTGATTATAAAAATTGAGGTGACATAATTTCTTCAATATATTCTGCAATTTTTTTGGTTAAGTCTTTCAAATTTTCCATTACTGTTAATAATAGTTTTGATGTTGATAGTTTTATTGTTATTGCTGCTGCTGTTAATTCTATGATTTTTTCTTCTAAATCCTTAATTTTAAAACTAAAGTTTTTTAAATTTTTCAAAACGTTCAAGTCGACAACTCCATCAATATCATTTGGTATTAGTGAAATAAGATTTGCTTCACTTTTAATACAATTATTTATTGATACTGATTTATAATTTTAAAAATCTTCATTAGATAAATGTCGCGTATCTCCTTATGTAAATAGATTTCTACGCAACCTTCTTAATTCTTTAATCAAATTTTCAGACAAGGTATTCTAATTATTAAAGATGTTAATTATTAATTAAATATAATTTATCGTTTGATATTATATCATAAAATATTTTTAAAAAATATATTATATTTTTGAATAATAATACTTGACTAGAAATAATTTGGACTTCACATTATATTCTTTACACTGAGAAAATATAGGATACAAAGCTCCATGTATTTTCCCATAAATAGATCATTTTAAAAAATGAAAAAAAAATAATAAATAAAATAAAAAAAAAATATATATATTCTAAAAGTTTGATTAGAGGTTCTTATCACTTTCCTATTTACTTGCTCTTTCCTATTATTTCTTAGAATTACTGCTTGAGGTGCTCAACTTAAACAATTCATAATTTATTTGAATTTATTTAAAAGAATAAAAAAGAATGAAATATCGTTTAAAAGATAACTTTCAACAAAATTAAGCAGCCAATAAAAAAAAGTAAATTAAAGAATATAAAAAAATAAAATAATAATTATTGCGATATTTAAATTTAAAAAAAAGATTATCATTAAAAAAAAGATGCAATAAAAGATCAGGTTCCTGTTTGGATAATTAGCAATTTTTTAAACTAAAAGGGTTTAAAATATGATAATTGGAAAACTACAGTTAATTCTTTTTATAACGAATTTTGATATAATAAATTTTACAATATAACAGATTTTCAGTATTAGACAGATTTTTAAATATAAAAAACCCTTACTATACTGAATTTAGTAATTAAAAATTCGTACTATGTTTATCAAATTTAAGTCAGAAATATTTATATATAAAATGATTCTTTTTATAATGAATTTTCTCTATAACGAATTTTTTTTTTGATACAACAAAGTTTTGCTTAAAATATGTGTCCTATTTGGCAGATATAACATATTTAGCATATATGTCATATTTGATAAGTCTGTTCTATCAGTTTCTGCTAGTTTCACTGATATATTTTTGTCTTGAACTTTTCTTGAATAATTCAGTATTGTATTGTTACATTTACTTTAACAACAATGGTTAAAAATCAAATTTCTTCAAGAATTTCTTCTAGCAATTTTTGTAATATTAGAATGAATTTACATGCTGATGATAATATTTATGTCTAATATAAATATTATTAAATTTTGTGACTTCTAAATAGCCCTTTTCCTTCTTAATTCAAATATTAACTAGCCATAGACATTCTACTCAATAAGATGACACATTTAATTGTGTTGTTTGTTTAGATATGGCTTTTTCAGCATGGTGATACAAATATCTTCACTTTATTACTTCATTTGTTATTTTATCGATCTTTCTACTACTACCAATTCGTATCCCATAACCTTTAGCTGCTGAGTATCTTTTCATGAACTTTGCAATATGATCCTAACTTTAAAAAGCTTTACCAACAAAAAGGTTCATATCCGTTTCTATATCTGTAATTTCATTTGATATACTATGATAAAATGTTGTTTTTATTAGACATATATCATCTAATTTATAATATGATATTTTAAATATTTAATAACTTACCATCTTCTGCACTATCATACTCTAATAATGCTTTATATTCTTGGTTTTAAATGCTCGATTCTCCCATATTATGCAAACTCTTATCGCAAGTATATTCAAAAAAGTGTTTTATAGGAATTGTAATAAGAAGTCAAAAAAAGAAACTTAATAAGCTACCAAATAGAATTTTTACATTGAAGCAAAAATTATTATAAGAAGATAATACTATTATAAAATGGTGAATCTTTAAAGAACTAATTTTATTAACCTGGTCAATGTGAACCTTCCTTTAGAATTAACCTATATAAAGTTCAGCATATTTATCATGAATTCAGCATATGTACTTAAGTTCTCTACCATGAACCCAAATAAAAATTCCCTTCACCAAATTACCAAATTACCTATTCTTTTGGATTCAAAAGAAGCCAAAGTTGAAAAAGAAGTAGGCGTTTAGGCTATTATATGAAATTTTGTGTTACAGGCTAAAATTAGTGTCTTCTGGCATGCAACATGTGAAATTGATGTAAAAATTTCGTAAAGAAGTAACACGAAAATTTCTATGACTTGCAAATACGAAAATTTTTCATGACTCAATAATATGATCGTAATGCAGTACACGAAAAAAATCTCATGACTCGCAATACAATTGTGACGTATTACATGGAAAAAATCTCGTGATTCGCAATATGATCATATATGCATTACATGATTCGCAATATGATAAATTTAATTGGTTGAATGTTTTACTTAATGCTTAAATTTGATTGGTTAATCAGAGGTCGCCAATTTGATTTTCCCTTATTATTTTGTTTAAATAATATATCAAGTCAAACTAAATTATTTTTAGATTTTTGTCTATGTACTAATTCATATAAAGTTTTTCCAATAGATCTATAAATAGAATTATTCATACTCTATAAAGTTAATCTTAATATTACTATCCATTTAATAGTCTGATTTTATTCCATTAAAGCATCTAATTTTCTTATTAAAATACTATTTGCTCATTCAACACTTTCTTGTGATTGTGGATGTCTAGGTCTACCATTTATAATTTTAACATTTGACTATCAAGACATTAGATTTAAAATTACATTTGCAGTAAATTTTTTGCCATTATCAGATTATAATATACAGTAGTAGAAGATCCAATCACTATAAAAATTTCAAATAAACATCCAGCTACTTCAATTGCACTTTTTGAAGTTTTAGCTTTAGTCTAGAAATATCTTGAAAAATGTTCGCAAACGTGCAAAATATATCTCCTTTATTTTCTGATGATCATTATAAATGATTAAAATTAATTATATTCGGAATTAATTAATAGCCATAATGATGAAAATGAAAAAAGGTTTTTTTATAAAAAAATTCAATGAATTTATGTTAAAAACGGCAAAATGAAGGTAAGTAATAGAGATTTTTAATTAATATTACAGCCAAAGATTTGTTTAAAATAAATGAATTTTTTTCTAAAAAAAAAAAAAATCGAAATTAATTTATAATGCACAGCCACAAATAAATATGATGTCAGAAAAAATTGTTTTAGAGGCTTAGTGTTTATAAAGAGGCTGAGTGATTTCTCTTCTTTATAGAAATGTAAAAATAGAAAATTGCTGGGCCCGATTTTAAAATTCACGACAGATTTGATATTATTTAATTATATCATGTGACATCTGCTTAATAAGATTGGTTAAATTAGCAAGATTTTTCAAAAACTAAACCGCTCGACGCTCAATAAATATTTACAATTGGGTTCATAATAATTGATGGAATTGATAATTAAAAGAACCATTAATTTAGGAACCGATCTTTGAGTTAGTGATCCAACTTTGATATTATGTAATAGTAAAGCTTTTACCTCAATGTGTATCGTCTTACTGAAATATTTTGCATATTTGTTAAACACTAAATATTTTTTTGGTTAATGGTAACTCTGGCCAATTTTATAGCGCTTAATTAGAGATAATTAATTATTAAAAAATTGAGTTCAGATGCAAGTAAAATGTTGTATATTCCAGATTTTTTTTTTTTTATAAATAATGTGAAAATTATGGCTCATGTGATAAATCACCATAAAATTTAACATTAATTTAAAACTTTTATTTTAAGCTTTGCACTTCTTTTGCACGCCACTGTATTTACGTGAACGAATTAAAATTAAAAAAAAAGTTTAGTAATATTTATTAAAAAAAATATTTCTTAAAATAATTAGAAAATTTGTGTCTACCAACATACTATGTCGAAAATCGAATTAAACAGACGAGGTTTGGTGGCTGCAAAGGAAGAGTTGGGGAGAAAAAAAGCAAAAAATGAGTTGACAAATAAACTTGATGAAGAGGAGATACAGCAGAAGGAAAAGCTGAGAGAATTGAGGAAAGCTGGAAGATTAAAATGAATGTTGGAGAAAACAGTACTTGAAGGAGAAGAGAAGCTTCGCATATACAACGCTCAGACAGGTAACGACTTTGTCATTCAGAAGTTGGTGTGATACTGGAGATCGTGTTATGTACAGTACGTTCGGTCACTTCATCCTAAAGTATCTATAACCTTAAGGAAGAGGTTCTGGATAATTTTTTCCTTAAAGGTACAAAACACAAGCCGCGACAGTGTGTAGAGTATATTAGGTATATATCACCATACAGATGAAAGTCAACTAATAAACTAACAATTTTTAACGTACCAAATTCAGATCATTCTCCGTTTATCAGCAAAAGAAAGTTTGTAGGCAACCTTATGAAGAATACCGCAACAGGTATTAGAAGGATTCTTCTACTTCATAATCATATTAAGTCATTTTAAAGTTCAAAATTAATTTTATTACATCATTTACAAATAGATTGAATTCTTCGGATTCAGCAAAATGGAATGCAGGATAGATTCAAAAAATAAAAGTTGAAAAATATATGAGGAGCAGAACATTATCGGAAACAGACTATATTTTCCTATAGCAAGTTCAATTCTGTTGATATGATACTGTTTTGAGATTGTATCTGTAGTGATCCGAATATCTACGCGGCTAAGGTGAAGTGAAGGAGGGTAGTAGAGGATAGCCTATCTCTCTAGGTATGGAATACGTAGGTCGGTCTTCTGTTTCGTATTTTTTTTTTTTTTGCAACCGGACAAATTAGCTTATACTATTATAATTTCTTGGAAAATACGCATATATTTTTGTATTACGATATTAAAACGAATGAATTAATTAATTTTTTAAAAAATAAAAAAAATGATTTTTTATATAGATTAAATTTATATTGTGAAAAATAAGATATACCTGCATATGCAAAAGCCTTTACAAGGGCGCCGCCAATTTTTCTTCTTTTTTTTGGTAATATAATAAGATCTAAAAAGTAAATCTTTTATTTAATTATTAGAAAGAAGTTGCTATATTTCAACCTATTTCTGGTCATCCGCTAATATCTTTTCGATTTTTTACTCTTTTTGAATGACAAAACAAAGGTAAAAAAGATTGATCAATTGTTTTTGAGTTTTATAATCGATGATTTATAATATAGTTAATGAACGTTAATGTGTATAAAGCAAAATAATGATTACAAGTTTCACTTACTAATGATATTACACTTTAACAGAACATTATAAATAATAATCACTTCGCTTTATCTTCTATTTCCCCTAAGGTTGCCGGGCAAAACCCCGAGGTTTCGACAGGCATCGAAATCGAAACTCATCGAAACGTTTTGCCAAATTATTTATTAAAGGCAAAATTGCGAAAGTTTCGACGAGTGGCAAAAGTTTCGACGGGAGCAAATGTTTCGACGATGGCAATATTAAAAATACAATTTTTTAATTTTTTGATTTTATTTTGATTTTACGAGTTGGGTTTAATTAGAAATGTGTTCTATAATACTTCTATCGGTGTTAACGGATCATCCTGTCAGGAGTGGTTCACCAAAAGAAATTTTAGCGATTTCTTCTCTTCGTCGTGTATAATATTAGTCAAATCATTCATCAAATTTTTTGACGGAATCCACCAATAGGAAGATGAAGAATCGATTTTGGTGTTACCATGAAATATATAACAAAATTTTCAACTCTGAATGAATTCTTCGAATTCTCTCAATATCATCAATATAAAGTTTTTAGACAATATCAACAAATGACAGAGTCATAACTATACGTATAAAAATTTTCGTAAGTATGCCTACGAAGCATAGTTTCTATTAAATGATATTCCTCTTGATGAACAACCATATTCATCTTATCCATAATTCATGGGCGAACGGTTAATAAATTACTCGCTTTCTCATTTGTAGAATAAATCTTTTCTAAAATATCCATTCTACCATATTTCTTTTGACATTCTCTACAAAATAATGATATGTCTTCACTAAGTTGATATTGGTTTCCGATAAATGAACCGGGAATACTTAAAATAATAATATGTTACATATGTGAGAGTTTTTAAGCTTTAAGGAATATTTTGTATTAGAAATATTGTTTATAAGGAATATTTTTAATTTTATTCTCGGAGCAATCATTCAACATAATGATCTATGCATTAGATGTGAGGTAGTATATATTTACGTCCTTTTTAAGAATTCGCAAAGTTGTTATCGAAACCGTCGAAATCGTCGAAACTTTCGAGACCCATCGAACCCATCGAAACCCGTTGAAACCCATCGAAACTTTCGAAACGATTTCTGAAAAGTTTCGACTTTTGCCAAAATGGGTTTAGGGTTTTGCCCGCAACTATAATTTCCCCTTTATATATACTGTGTTGAATTCCTTTCATTTCTATCTAAAGCATAGCACACTGTAATGATATAATCTTCTTACGTTTGTTTATTCAGTACTTGCGTTCGTTTTCACTCTCTGTCTCCTTTCATTTTTACTAGTAACTTAACTCTTGAAACGAATAGAAATTTAAATTGCTAATACATTAACTCTGCGCATTTATAGTGTTTTTGTTTTTAAACATCTTTAATATAAAGGATGGTGAACAACATTGAACGGTTGCTTGGTGATGTTTTTACACTATTGATCTTAGACATTACGGTTTGTGCACCGTTAATAAATGGAATTGGATTGAAAATGATGTTTCATGACTAAATATACAGTATATTATCGCAAGTAGTAATAACATAAGTTGTAGCGTAGCGCAAAGCAATTTACTTTCAACTTATCAATTGATTGTGAAATTTTTAACAACAAGGTTTAAAAAATTACTTATAAGCTTGGATATTTATCATTGATATCTCATTCACTAAATCTGATTCAGGTTATTTATTTATCAGATCAGCGTTATGAACTATATAGCTTGGCCCATTTTTTTTTTTAAAGAAACCAAAATTTTTCGCTGCCATAAAACATCAATTTCTAAAATAATCTAAAATGAGGTTTAAGAGTCAATATTTTTAAAAAGGAAATGAAAAAAAAAATCTTTGTGTTACCGTCGTAGATGATTGATTTTGTCATCAAAAATTAAAAGTTCGAGTTACATCAATAAAAAATCGAAGCGTTTTATAACAACAGGCAGTAAAAGTAATTTGTCGCGAAAAATGTGTAATAAATAGCCATGTTTTAAGACAATGTAAATCGAAAATGTTACACTCGGAGGAGATTTAACAAAAGGAAAATTTTCCACATTTTTTTTTTTTTAAAAACATTTTCAAATGCACAAATTTTCAAACTTCTTCAACATAGGTAAAGCCTAACGAAATTGTTATTTTACAGAAAATTATCAAGAGTTAGTGGGCGTTTTTAAATTAACAATATAATTTTTTATTGTCTTTATTTTTACTAACAACACTGTTCGTACGTACGCTTCGGTTCTTCTAGGATTATAACTACGCTTGCTTCATTTTTTTTTTATTTTATAATTTCTTTTTCATTTCTTCAATTATAAGTAAAGATGTAAGCAGGTCGGTGAATTCTTTATCTGAACTTAAAGACCAATATATTGAAATTAGTATCCTCTCATTTCGTATTATTGACAAATAAAATGTGAAAATATGGGTTCGCTTGTCCTATGTCCAATTTGCGTCGAAGTGTTAATTGTATTTATCCTTCTATATAAATATCTATTTATCTAAAGTTATTATATCTAATAAAGTAGTTAAGATTAAGTATTTTGGAAGGGACTAATTTGTGAAAACCAGGTGATTTTTCAGTAATTTTTTTTTTGTTATCAGGCGTCACGGCGCAACTGTGACCCTTTATTTTTTCCCGATTACTAACGCCCGTGATAAAATACTTTTTTTCATCATAAATTTTTTTTTTACAATTTTTTTTTTTCTTAAAAAATGAAATCAAAGAAGACCGTAAAATTTAATATTGCTCGTGTACTTTTAAATAACTCATGTTTACAATCTTAAACATCCCAAAATACTGACATTGTAAAGGAAATTTTATTCCTGTGTAACAAATTCAAGATTACAACAAGAAACCGTTACAAATTATAAATCTTGAATCACAAAGATTTACCAATTAATATGCCTTCAAATAATGGTAGGTAAGGAAAAGGCTCCGATGTTAATAATTGTCACTTTCAAAATGTTAACTTTTACTTTATTTATAATCATAAATGCTTGTAATAATGTTTTCTATATCAAGCTTTTGTATTGTGAAATTCAACATATCAAAATTTGTTTTATTAAAAGTTGACTGTACTTTACAATAATGTGTATTCGATCCAGACTCAAAACGGTTCCCGTTTCCTAGTAATACATTAAACATCTGTAATAATTTTTATTATGACACCTGATATACTTTTTGATTAATTAATATATAAAGTACCTCAACATCTAATGTGTTATATTTAATTAAGATTTTTTATAAACTAGAATAGATTCTTTAATTTTATTATATAGTACATTAGTTTGATTTTGTATAATAATATTATTCATTTAATAAAACTTTCATTTTCTTTAAATAACGATAATATCTATATGAATTTTTTGGAAAAAACAAATTTACTTCTCTTCTAAAATAAGGAAACTTTAAAATTGTTAATAATTGAACACACGCATAGATAAAGGTAAATTTTGTTATTCATGTACAATTATCCTTGTTTAACAATAATAATATAGGATATGTCTCAGTATGTCTGTGTCTGACCAATTTTGGCTGATATTAAGTTTTTTTATTACAGTCATCCTCTCTTATAGTCACAGGCCTTGTTTTACCATGCAAAGTGGTTGGGTTTTTTAATTTCCGCATATATACGTTCAAAGTTTGAAATACAAATCCGGAAACGAAAAAATTTTAATTATAAAAAAAAAAATAATTTTTTTTTATTAACCTTTAAAAATTTATTTTAAACTATGAATTCATTCATTTTCCAAAAACTAAAAAACAAAATAAAATTTCAAGGTTAATTTCATTATATAAAAAAATTATATATTGTATATGTAATATATACTTACTGCTGCATGTTCAGCTGGATATCTGTGTCCAATGATCTCAATGGAATCAATAATTTGACGAACTTCAGATAATTCCTCAGACGAAAGTTGAACATTAGCTGCGCCAACATTCTCTTCTAAATATTTGATTTTCCTTGTACCAGGAAGAACTACGATATTTTCTCCCTAATGAAAATTAAATTGTTAAAGACGACTAGGATTTTACAATCGGAATATATTTGATAAAATGATAAAATATGTAAATACTTGAGCCAAAACCCAAGCCAGACAAAGTTGACTTGCAGTAACACCTTTCTTGCTTGCGAATTCTTGAATTTTCTTAACAATTTCTAAATTCTTGTTAAAGTTATCACCCAAGAAACGTGGACTCGTCCTTCTAAGATCATTTTGATCAAAATCATCAATCGATTTATATTTTCCGGTTAAGAATCCGCGACCAAGTGGGCTATAAGCGACTATGGTAACACCTAATTCACGACATGCTTCCATAATTCCATTCTTTTCAATATCAAGCGTCCATGGACTATACTCGATCTTATAAAAAATGGGATGGTTTGACATTTAAAATAATATTTCAACGATTCAAAAAATTTACAATATCATACCTGTAAAGCTGCAATTGGATGAACTTTACAAGCGCGTCGAAGTGTGTTCACGGAACATTCCGAGAGTCCGATATATTTCACTTTTCCTTCTTTCACAAGTTCCGCCATAGCGGCAACGGTTTCCTCAATAGGTCTTTGAATTAAAAAAAAAAATATGTAGATATTTTACTTTTTTACTTTAAAATAAAATTTATTTAAGCTTACGTTTTAGAATCCACACGAATTTGATAATAGAGGTCAATATAATCCATACCAAGCCTTTTCAACGATTTTTCACAAGCTTGACGAACATATTCACGATCACCTTTAATCTCCAAAAATTCTCCATTTGGACCTCGAACGACTCCGAATTTTGTACAAAGAAATACTTCATGACGACGTTCTTTAAGAACTTTTGACAAAAGGATCTCATTAGCTCCCCTTCCATACATATCCTAAAGGTCACATTCAAATCATAAGGAGTTATTATTAGTTTTGTTTCAGTAGTTCGAAAATAATGATCGAATAAATCTAATTTACTTTACCGCAGTATCCCAAAAGTAACTTCCTAATTCGATCGATTTGTTCAATACGTTAATGTTTTCCTTCTCGTCAGATTGTCCATAAAAATCACTCATTCCCTGAATTTTTATTTAAAATAAATAAAGAGAGGATTTGCAATTATTAATATCGAAAAAAATGTTTGCGGTGTCATTTATTACATACCATACATCCAAAGCCAATTGTTGGAATTTTAACTCCAGTTTTACCTAATTCACGAGTTGGAAGCGGCATTTTTTATAAAATTTCAAAAGAAACAAAAAAAAGTGAAAATTCATAGATTCCTTTTTTTTAAAAAAAGGTCTATATAAGCTTTCGGAACTTCAGTATAAAACCATATTTAATTGTTTAAATGGGTATTTCATGTATGGTATGGATTTTTATGTATGGTTCAATCATTTATGGTATGGAATTTTCAATTTTCAAATCCATACCTTAGTGAATAGTAATTAAATTAATTATAATTTCATCGTCAGATACAGTTTCAATATCTTAAAAATAATCGGATGACAATCAAAGAAAAACAATAAGTCGCGTTGGTAATTGTTTTGATTTATACATCACATTAGAAAGAGTAAAATCAGGTGTAAAGTATTAGTAAATATTTTAAAAGAATTTTTGTATTTATCAAATAGAAAGTATTTAATTAATCGAATTTAAAAATTTAAAAACTTTATTATTAATCGGTTAATTCCTTTTTAATATGATTGGTTTATTTTGATGCAAAGCTATTTTGTATATAATTTCCAAATTCTGGTAAAATGAAAAATAGGCTGCGACGAATTTTAGAAAATCCTTACATGTATGGAAATATTTGTCATAAAAATCCATACCATACATGGTTGCTATATAAACAATAAATATACGCCATCGGAAATCCAACAATTTCAGCTTGAATAACATAAATTACTTGAATTAATTTCTTATATGGATAACTATAACGATATATATATATATTAATACGCTTAGGTCATATGGGATGAAAAATTTTTCCGACAAATACTAAGGAAGATGATGATCACCAGTGATATGAAGTAATTTTCTATTTCTATATATATAAAAAATTTTCAAAAAACCGAACAGCTATTTGTATCACCAACAATTTCAATTTAATACAAATAATATCCACAAACCTAATTTTCAATATTAGTGCAATATTTGCTAATGAAGTAATTCTAATGAAATTTTTGAAGCGAAACGGTTTGAATTGACTTTTGATGGGAAAAATTCTAATAAACAGATTTACCAATTAAATCTATCCCATTTATAATTAATAGTTTCTTAAACCAGTTAACTGATCTTCGAATATCATTAGCAAAATAAACAAAAAATTCTTCGGATAAATTCATCCAATTTACAGAAAATAATAATAAAAAGGGTTTTGGAATCATTCATCCGAAAATAGTTAGACTTTAGCCATATTTGTATGGTCATAACAATTGGCACATGGATATAATTTTCAAAAAATTCGGTTAAATTTTGCACAATCCCGAAAATAGTTAGACCTCTTCCTTCGAAAAAGAGAATTCATTAAGCAAGCATTAAGCAAGTTTAATCTTTTTTTTTTTTTTTTTATAAAAGGTATTCATTTTTGTTGGTTCCTTCTCGTGTGAATTTTATTAAAAAAAAAAAATAAAAAAAAAAATGCCGCTTCCAACTCGTGAATTAGGTAAAACTGGAGTCAAGATTCCAACAATTGGCTTAGGATGTATGGTATGTAATAAATAACACTTTTTTCGATATTAATAATTGCAAATCCTCTCTTTATTTATTTTAAATAAAAATTCAGGGAATGAGTGATTTTTATGGACAATCTGACGAGAAGGAAAACATTAACGTATTGAACAAATCGATCGAATTAGGAAGTTACTTTTGGGATACTGCGGTAAAGTAAATTAGATTTATTCGATCATTATTTTCGAACTACTGAAACAAAACTAATAATAACTCCTTTATGGTTTGAATGTGACCTTTAGGATATGTATGGAAGGGGTGCTAATGAGATCCTATTGTCAAAAGTTCTTAAAGAACGTCGTAATGAAGTATTTCTTTGTACAAAATTCGGAGTCGTACGAAATCCAATTGGAGAATTACAATTAGTTGATGTTAAAGGTGATCGTGAATATATTCGTCAAGCCTGTGAAAAGTCGTTGAAAAGGCTTGGTGTGGATTATATTGACCTCTATTATCAACATCGTGTGGATCCTAATACGTAAGCCTAATCAAAATCGTTCACTTTTAACGCAAGATAATGATGAAAGAATTAAAAAAAAACTGTACATTTTTTTTTTTATAAAAAGTCTTATTGAGGAAACCATTACCGCTTTGGCGGAACTTGTGAAAGAGGGCAAAGTGAAATATATCGGAATCTCGGAATGTTCCGTGAACACACTTCGACGCGCTCATAAAGTTCATCCAATCGCAGCTTTACAGGTATGATATTGTAAATTTTTTTGAACCGTTGAAAATTTATTATTTTAATATCAAATCCCACCGTTTTTTAAAAGGTCGAGTATAGTCCATGGGCACTTGATATTGAAAAAAATGGAATTATGGAAGCATGTCGTGAATTAGGTGTTACCATAGTCGCTTATAGCCCACTTGGTCGCGGATTCTTAACCGGAAAATTTAAATCGGTCGATGATTTTGAGCAAGATGATCTTAGAAGGACGTTTCCACGTTTCATGGGTGATAATTTTCAAAAAAATTTGGAAATTGTTAAAAAATTTCAAGCATTCGCAAGCAAGAAGGGTGTTACTGCAAGTCAACTTTGTCTGGCTTGGGTTTTGGCTCAAGTATTTACATATTTTATCATTTTTATCAAATATATTCCGAATTTAATATCCAGTTGACTTTAACAATTTAATTTTCATTAGGGAGAAAATATTGTTGTTATTCCTGGTACAAAGAAAGTCAAATATTTAGAAGAGAATGTTGACGCAGCTAAAGTTCAACTTTCGTCTGAGGAATTATCTGAAATTCGTCAAATTATTGATTCTATTGACATTATTGGGCACAGATATCAGGATGATGCTAAGACTGTAAGTTTTTATATTATATTTATATATATATATATTTTTATATAATAAAATTAACTTTGTAATTTTATTCTGTTTCTCAGTTTTTGGATAAATGAATTTATTATTTAAAAATAAATTTTTAGAGTTAAAAAAATTTTATTTCTTTTTTTTTTTAAAATCCTTCCAATTTCGAAATTATTCGCAATTTAATTTATCTTTGTGAACGAATTTTTCGGATTTTCATTATTAAATAAATGTTTATACTCACGTGGAAATCATTTACATTAAAATGATAATTTAATGAAACGTGAATAGCACATTCTACTTTATCTATGCGTGTACATCCAATAGTTAGCTATTTTGGAAATTTTGGAAGCAAGAATTGTGTATGTCGAATAGTTCATTATAGATAATTTAAAGAAAAATAAAATTTAATAAATGATAATATTATTATTATATAAGCTCAATAACTCTGATTAAGTTTTGAAATTTGTATTAATTTATAAAAATGAAAGAAAATTCTAGTTTAAAAAAAATCATGACTATGTTCGATTAAACATAAAAGTACTTAAAGGATTCGGAATTGCAATTTACTTTTAAAATCATCTATATCAGTAATTATCATATTATCTTCGGTTAATGTATAAATTCCTACATTAGCGTTAGCGCTTCTTAAAGATCTTAAGTGCAACGACATTTTTTTAATATTTGATGATTTTGGATGAATGTTTGCTTTATAAAATTCCAAGACATCATCTTTGGTACTCCTTTTTAATTCTTCGGCATCCTTAATATCTTTGTAAATTATAAAATAAATTGAATATATGTTTAAATAGAATATGAAAATTAACAATTTAGGCTTAGGTGCTTACATTTATCAAAATCGTAAAAGCCACTAAAAATTTGATTAGAATATAAATTAGCTTTGTCCTCCATATTCTTTTCTTTTTCTAATAGGTGGTTAATTAATGGTTGTTTTAGATTTTGAAATTCTTTTTCCGTCATTCGTTCAATAAATGACTGTATTATTATTTTTTTGTTTTTTAGAAAAAGTACATGTATTTATTAAAATAGTGTTTTAATAATGTTTGATTTAATATTTTTAAATGTTAACAAATTTACCTGTACTTTTATTAAATATTTTTCAATTATATTTTCTAAATAAATGGTATCTCCCTCATTTTTTATATGAATGATAAATCCCGCATCTCCAATTGAAATAAATGGTTCGCATCCTATTCAATGAAACGACAAAAGTACTGTTTAATGAATAGAATGGAATGGCTTTACTAAATCATTAAATACCTCACCTATTTGCCAAAAGAAACAAAGATATTTTCTCAAGATTCGAGCAATTAAATTTAAACTCATCATAACGTATCTATCCTTATTATCGTTACATTGCAAATAGTATCTAATTGTACTATCATTTTCAAAAACATTTTTTTGATAAACATATTTTTTTCCTTGAGGTAAACTAATATCATCACATTTAACCATTCTAGATTTCTCAAGAATCCTTGGTTCAAATATTTGTTCAACCTTATTTATCATCATCTTCATATCATCTTCCTCCATGTTTCCAAATACAAGTGATTCAATAAAAAGTTGTTGAAATAATTTAGGAAAAAATGATTGTACATCTTCCATACTAATATCTTTTAATGCGGATGATATTTCTTCTGCTGTAAAATACCATTCTTTAAAAAGTAAACGGTCATAAAATGTTAATGGTGGATTTGATTCCATTTCGTAATAACGATTCAATAAACTTTTCTTTAGTATTTTAAATCTATCAGGTTCGATCACAAGATTTTTCATTCCTTTTAAAACAAATTCTAATAATTTTAGTGCTTTATCATTCCGTCCCGATACTCTAACAAATATAAGATCTGCTTTTACACAGCTGTTATATTTTAATCCAGCAAATAACGCATCATATGCTCTGTCTTCAATTGAGTCATTAAATAAATTAAGATACAATTCTGTTTTAACCAAATTTGTAGGTGTAAGTTTAATAAGAGGTCTATAATATATACATATAATGATTAATAATACGTAAAAGAATAATAAATACGAATCAAGTTAATATTTACGCACGTTGTGAGTGATAATTCTATTTTCACTTTCGGAGTCGACAATGTATCATCCTTTGCATACCAAACTCGATGTATGCCATTTTCACTAATAATATTCGGACGGGATTTTGGCTAA